TTTTTTTTTTTTTTTTCACATCAGACAGAAGGGACGCTTAGCTCCAATACTGCCGTTCCCCATGCCCCCCTCTGCGCCCCCGGCTTAAAGTGCGCTTGGCTTTTTCGTAGACTAATTTGGGACACAAAATTCCATTGATTGGGGTTAATGCTCCAAGAACCTCTCCAGGAAGTAGGCCTTCTGTGCGGGTTTTGGCTCCCAGTCGTTCCTCCACAAACGAGTCTTAAATGCTCTGGAGGCATCTGTTTCAGGCAAGTTAAGGAAACAGGTACAAGGGTAAATTCTGTAATGACTGTAGTTGTAGAAGCTGCAGTTTCCATGGTACAATTCTACAAGGAGCAGCTTCGGCAGCTGTTACTGCGATATCACTGAAAATGTGAGTAGAGATTTTTTTTTTCTCATTGAAAGAGCCGCATCTGTTGAGAGTAATAGAGTACCACGTGGTGTCCTCCTAGCTGTGAATTGCGAACATATTTATTTGGTGGGGTTTTTGCAAAAAGTGTCAACCTTTAAGTTTAACCTAGTCATTAAAAGCATAAGATTTTTAGTGCGGTGAACTCTATTTGTACTAAATGTACTGAAAAAGCAATTCTTTTAAATGTTGCAGGTTAGGAACAGGCCATCGTAAATGTATTAGCATGGTTGTTTTGTACATAGTCTACTTCACTTCTTAGTCTAATCTAAAAATATCCTCTAAAAGGTGATTGTCATTGGGGCGCCTGGGGGACTGACTCGGTTAAGCTTCTGACCTCGGCTCGGGTCATGATCTCACAGTTTATGGGTTCAAGCCCTGCATCGGGCTCTGTGCTGACAGCTCAGAGCCTGGACCCTGCTCCAGATTCTGTGTCTCCCTCTCTCTCGGACCCTCCCCCACTCCTGCTCTGTCTCTGTCTCTCTCTCTCAAAATTAAATGAACATTAAAAAAAGTTTGAAAGGTGATTGTCATTGCTATAAAATATAGGTTATGTCTTTGATATTAATAAGGGTACCAATAAAAAGTACCTATATTTTTGGATTTGTTTAAATTATAAACAAATATAAATTCATACAAGTATAAATATAACAAATATAAATTCAAACATGTATAAATTCATAAATAAGTTTATTATTTATTAGTGACTTATTTCCTTAAAAATATTTTTTAAAAACGAGTGTAGTTGACACACAACGGTATGTTAGTTTCAGGCGTACAAATAGTGATTGGGTAAGTCCGTATGTTACACTGTGCTCATCACAAGGGTAGCTACCATCTGTCTCCATACAACGCTATTACAATACCATTGATTACATTCTTTATGCCGTGCCTTTTAGTCCCGTGACTTATTCATTCCATAACTGGAAGCCCGCACCTCCCTCTCCCCTTCACCCATTTTGCCC